GGTGATCAGTTACCGTAGTTACAGACGAGTTAATTAGACCGACGGTGATTAGTGATACCGTAGTTACAGACGAGTTTGTTAGACCGATGGTGATCAGTGGTACCGTAGTTACAGACGAATTAGTTAGACAGATGGTGATCAGTTACCGTAGTTACAGACGAGTTTGTTAGACCGATGGTGATCAGTTACCGTAGTTACAGACGAGTTAGTTAGACCGATGGTGATCAGTTACCGTAGTTACAGACGCGTTTATTAGACCGATGGTGATTAGTGATACCGTAGTTTCAGACGGGATTATTAGACCGATGGTGATTAGTGATACCGTAGTTATAGACGAGTTTGTTAGACCGATGGTGATCAGTTACCGTATTTACAGACGGGTTTGTTAGACTGATGGTGATCAGTTACCGTAGTTACAGACGAGTTCGTTAGACCGATGGCGATCAGTGTTACTGTAGTTACAGACGAGTTTGTTAGACCGATGGTGATAAGTGATACCGTAGTTACAGACGAGTTTGTTAGACCGATAGTGATCAGTGGTACCATAGTTACAGACGAGTTTGTTAGACCGATGGTGATCAGTGGTACCGTAGTTAAAGACGGGTTTGTTAGACCGATGATGATCAGCGGGATTTCCTAGATATGACGAGATCCTGTTAAAAGATAGAAGTAAAAATGAAAATATGGCCGAAACACATTTTCGCCTCAGCGCGTCATTGATGTTTTCTGACATCTTTCCATTTTCTTGTCTGCGCATAAGACATCAAGATTATGTTGGAATTTTCCGATGGTCATCGATAAAACAAATCTTTGTACGGACACATGGGCAATTCATAACAGCTAAGGGTATAAAAGAGACAACGAGAAGAAACTACCAACATGTGAACATAATCATTATCCAAACTCAAATTCAAGAAAACTGGGGCAAAATATAAACAAAAGAAAGATTTACACGAAGATTCTTGAAAAGTGCAAGTGAAAAATACCTAGTATTATTTAAAAAATGAGCGTCTTCTGCTTCATTGACGACACCTGCCATGTGAGTCCTGTTATCAAATGAGAACAAGCTATAACACAACGGAGCCAACAGGCAAACTAACGAGCATCAAACATGTTCAGCTTCATAAATAACCTTCTATATTATTTTCATTAATCCTCATCTTTTTAAAACCTTGTTCTATGAATTTGTCAGTTGACGACATGTAAACACCAAAAGTTGAGGATATACAGGATTGATGCTATCCAGAAATGGAAAATTCACAATAGGGAAATTGCGACCAACTTGCGGCTGGTGCAGAAGAGTCTGTCATGTCATTGATTTCCAGTTCTAGTGGGTACGTGCGATGGCATGGTCAATAAATCTCTTCTTGTTAAAAAAACATGACGTCATTTATTTATCTGAATGTAAAATTGAAGAGCCTCATATGAAAACAAAGCGCTCATAACAAGAGAACGAATCTTTCCGTTCGGTTTAAATGGGGTATAATGATAGTGATAGAGCGGAGACATAAAATTTTATTACAGAAGACGATCCAGCAATGAAACATTGTTTATATGGCTATAACAATAATTACAGAGTGTGAATCAGTGTAGGGGTTATGGGAACGTTTTTTTAAGCTGAACACGCTATGTTATCTTTAGTAAATGATTACTAGTTTGGTAACGTGCAGTTTCAAAATAAGGCGGAACGAAAACAGAGAAATGATCACACAATAGTCGTAACGAGTCTATATGACGAGTTGATGATCACCACACTGACCGGGAAAACGTCAGATTGATGTCGGATCATTGAACACATCAGTCTACCATTTAACTTACTTCCCTAGTTGGAAGCGTAAACACTCAGCTGGCCCTACAATCGACTAGAAAGAGAATGCTATTGTTTAAATGAAAATTTCCGCCTCGATTAACATTCAGAAATGGGTATCATTATACATAGGCTTGAGCATAGGGCACATACTGTACCTCCAGGTCAACTCATAGAAAAAGTTTCTCAGAGTTTCTCGTGTTGTTTAGGAATGATAGCTCTCAATTTTTTTCTATTGCTCTCTCTGGCTGCCTAGGAGCGACAACACGTTCAGTGTTATATCTTCCTTTGTGTTGTATCAGAGGGATGACGCTCAGTGTTTTATCTTCCTCTGTGTTGTATCAGAGGGATGACACTCAGTGTTTTATCTTCCTCTGTGTTGTATCAGAGGGATGGCACTCAGTGTTATATCTTCCTCTGTGTTGTATCAGAGGGATGGCACTCAGTGTTATATCTTCCTCTGTGTTGTATCAGAGGGATGGCACTCAGTGTTATATCTTCCTCTGTGTTGTATCAGAGGGATGACGCTCAGTGTTTTATCTTCCTCTGTGTTGTATCAGAGGGATGGCACTCAGTGTTTTATCTTCCTCTGTGTTGTATCAGGGGGATGACGCTCAGTGTTTTATCTTCCTCTGTGTTGTATCAGAGGGATGACGCTCAGTGTTATATCTTCCTCTGTGTTGTATCAGAGGGATGACGCTCAGTGTTATATCTTCCTCTGTGTTGTATCAGGGGGATGACGCTCAGTGTTTTATCTTCCTCTGTGTTGTATCAGAGGGATGACGCTCAGTGTTTTATCTTCCTCTGTGTTGTATCAGGGGGATGACGCTCAGTGTTATATCTTCCTCTGTGTTGTATCAGAGGGATGACGCTCAGTGTTATATCTTCCTCTGTGTAGTTGAGAAGTGATGACGCTCCGTGTTTTATCTTCCTCTGTGTTGTATCAGGGGGATGACGCTCAGTGTTTTATCTTCCTCTGTGTTGTATCAGGGGGATGACGCTCAGTGTTTTATCTTCCTCTGTGTTGTATCAGAGGGATGACGCTCAGTGTTTTATCTTCCTCTGTGTTGTATCAGAGGGATGACGCTCAGTGTTATATCTTCCTCTGTGTTGTATCATTGGGATGACGCTCAGTGTTTTATCTTCCTCTGTGTTGTATCAGAGGGATGACGCTCAGTGTTTTATCTTCCTCTGTGTTGTATCAGAGGGATGTCACTCAGTGTTTTATCTTCCTCTGTGTTGTATCAGAGGGATGACGCTCCGTGTTTTATCTTCCTCTGTGTTGTATCAGGGGGATGACGCTCAGTGTTTTATCTTCCTCTGTGTTGTATCAGAGGGATGGCACTCAGTGTTTTATCTTCCTCTGTGTTGTATCAGAGGGATGGCACTCAGTGTTTTATCTTCCTTTGTGTTGTATCAGAGGGATGGCACTCAGTGTTTTATCTTCCTCTGTGTTGTATCAGAGGGATGACGCTCAGTGTTTTATCTTCCTCTGTGTTGTATCAGAGGGCTGGCACTCAGTGTTATATCTTCCTCTGTGTTGTATCAGAGGGATGGCACTCAGTGTTTTATCTTCCTCTGTGTTGTATCAGAGGGATGGCACTCAGTGTTATATCTTCCTCTGTGTTGTATCAGAGGGATGGCACTCAGTGTTTTATCTTCCTCTTTGTTGTATCAGAGGGATGGCACTCAGTGTTATATCTTCCTCTGTGTTGTATCAGAGGGCTGGCACTCAGTGTTTTATCTTCCTCTGTGTTGTATCAGGGGGATGGCACTCAGTGTTTTATCTTCCTCTGTGTTGTATCAGGGGGATGACGCTCCGTGTTTTATCTTCCTCTGTGTTGTATCAGAGGGATGGCACTCAGTGTTTTATCTTCCTCTGTGTTGTATCAGAGGGCTGGCACTCAGTGTTATATCTTCCTCTGTGTTGTATCAGAGGGATGGCACTCAGTGTTTTATCTTCCTCTGTGTTGTATCAGAGGGATGGCACTCAGTGTTATATCTTCCTCTGTGTTGTATCAGAGGGATGGCACTCAGTGTTTTATCTTCCTCTGTGCTGTATCAGAGGGATGACGCTCAGTGTTTTATCTTCCTCTGTGTTGTATCAGAGGGATGACGCTCCGTGTTTTATCTTCCTGTGTTGTATCAGAGGGATGACGCTCAGTGTTTTATCTTCCTCTGTGTTGTATCAGAGGGATGACGCTCAGTGTTTTATCTTCCTCTGTGTTGTATCAGAGGGATGACGCTCAGTGTTTTATCTTCCTCTGTGTTGTATCAGAGGGATGACGCTCAGTGTTTTATCTTCCTCTGTGTTGTATCAGAGGGATGACGCTCAGTGTTTTATCTTCCTCTGTGTTGTATCAGAGGGATGACACTCATTGTTATATCTTCCTCTGTGTTGTATCAGAGGGATGACGCTCAGTGTTATATCTTCCTCTGTGTGGTTGAGAAGTGATGACGCTCAGTGTTTTATCTTCCTCTGTGTTGTATCAGAGGGATGACGCTCCGTGTTTTATGTTTTTCTGTGTGGATTTGTGGGGATGACATTTGGTGTATTTTGTTTCTCGGTGTGGTATAGAAGCGTTGAAGGTACGTCTTTGAATCGATGACATTAGGTGTTTCTTTGTGAGGTTAAAGAACGATAACTCTCGGTTATTGACGTTTTTCTGTGTGTTTAAGGAACGGCTTTTTGAACTTGGGCGTTTGTGGTTTTTGTATTATTTAGAAATGATGACTCTCGGTGTTCGACGTCCCTGTGTTTGGTTAAGGAGTGAAGACGCTCGGTGTTTGACGTTCATGTGTTTGGTTAAGGAGTGAAGACGCTCGGTGTTTGACGTTCCTGTGTTTGGTTAAGGAGTGAAGACGCTCGGTGTTTGACGTTCATGTGTTTGGTTAAGGAGTGAAGACGCTCGGTGTTCGACGTCCCTGTGTTTGGTTAAGGAGTGAAGACGCTCGGTGTTCGACGTCCCTGTGTTTGGTTAAGGAGTGAAGACGCTCGGTGTTCGACGTCCCTGTGTTTGGTTAAGGAGTGAAGACGCTCAGTGTTCGACGTCCCTGTGTTTGGTTAAGGAGTGAAGACGCTTGGTGTTTGACGTTTCTGTGTTTGGTTAAGGAGTGAAGACGCTCGGTGTTTGACGTTTCTGTGTTTGGTTAAGGAGTGAAGACGCTCGGTGTTTGACGTTTCTGTGTTTGGTTAAGGAGTGAAGACGCTTGGTGTTTGACGTTCCTGTGTTTGGTTAAGGAGTGAAGACACTTGGTGATTGACCTTTGTTTGGTTTAGGAGTGAAGACACTTGGTGATTGATTTTGTTTGGTTTAGGAGTGAAGACACTTGTTGATTGACCTTGGTTTGGTTTAGGAGTGAGGACACTTGGTGATTGACCTTTGTTTGGTTTAGGAGTGAGGACACTTGGTGATTGACCTTTGTTTGGTTTAGGAGTGAGGACACTTGGTGATTGACCTTTGTTTGGTTTAGGAGTGAGGACACTTGTTGATTGACCTTTGTTTGGTTTAGGAGTGAGGACACTTGGTGATTGACCTGTGTTTGGTTTAGGAGTGAAGACACTTGGTGATTGACCTTTGGTTGGTTTAGGAGTGAAGACACTTGGTGATTGACCTTTGTTTGGTTTAGGAGTGAGAACACTTGGTGATTGACCTTGGTTTAGTTTAGGAGTGAGGACACTTGTTGATTGACATTGGTTTGGTTTAGGAGTGAAGACACTTGGTGATTGACCTTGGTTTGGTTTAGGAGTGAAGACACTTGGTGATTGATTTTGTTTGGTTTAGGAGTGAAGACACTTGTTGATTGACCTTGGTTTGGTTTAGGAGTGAGGACACTTGGTGATTGACCTTTGTTTGGTTTAGGAGTGAAGACACTTGGTGATTGACCTTTGTTTGGTTTAGGAGTGAGAACACTTGGTGATTGACCTTGGTTTGGTTTAGGAGTGAGGACACTTGTTGATTGACCTTTGTTTGGTTTAGGAGTGAAGACACTTGGTGATTGACCTTTGTTTGGTTTAGGAGTGAGAACACTTGGTGATTGACCTTGGTTTGGTTTAGGAGTGAGGACACTTGTTGATTGACCTTGGTTTGGTTTAGGAGTGAAGACACTTGGTGATTGACCTTGGTTTGGTTTAGGAGTGAAGACACTTGGTGATTGACCTTTGTTTGGTTTAGGAGTGAGGACACTTGGTGATTGACCTTTGTTTGGTTTAGGAGTGAAGACACTTGGTGATTGACCTTTGTTTGGTTTAGGAGTGAGGACACTTGTTGATTGACCTTTGTTTGGTTTAGGAGTGAGGACACTTGGTGATTGACCTTTGTTTGGTTTAGGAGTGAGGACACTTGGTGATTGACCTTTGTTTGGTTTAGGAGTGAGGACACTTGGTGATTGACCTTTGGTTGGTTTAGGAGTGAAGACACTTGGTGATTGATTTTGTTTGGTTTAGGAGTGAGGACACTTGGTGATTGACCTTTGTTTGGTTTAGGAGTGAAGACACTTGGTGATTGACCTTTGGTTGGCTTATGACAGATGATGCTCAATGGTGTCCACGCCTTTAAACCCAACCATATTAAAACATCACGTGATTCATACGACACCCTAGGAGACATGATTCTTTTGAAACTAAATATTACGCTATTTAACATGATTTAAATCCGACCAAAGTCAGTGACTCAAGCGTACCTATGTAAAAAGTTATGACTTCTGAGGAATATTAAGTATTGTCCTATAGAGTCGTACGAAGAAAGTGCATTACAATCAAGGGGGTGTAAAATAATTCCCAGTAACATATCACATACATATGCAGTACCAAGGCTCACATCACCACATTAGTAAATAACAGTCTGATGATTGATATAAACCAAATTTAATAGTTATATATCATAAAATGGCGAGTTGGTGTAGAAATGATAGCATGAACAACATCATTTACATAATGCAGTGACATTTATCTACTTTGATTCGTCATAGAACAATATTCGAGTCGATTTAATAAAAAGTTTGTAGATGATATTTCCTTATCTTGTACATTACTGCATCAGACTTCCTCGAAGAACTTCAACACTACATCTAACTCCTGATGGGACGACTCAGCGTATCCTTTTGTAATATTAATTATCACGTGACCTTCGTGAGGATCATGTGACTAGAGCATGTCCACGTTGTGTGCGGTCGGGGATATACAGAGACACATCTCGAGTGGATAGAGACAATAGCTGTGGGCCCGGTTTAAACACTTCATGTTGTTGCAGCATTTAGTTACGTCAGGTATACACGAGTCCATCGGCTTACCGCACTTCTGAAACAGTTCAATTATTAATCTGAAGCAAAGACCATCATACAATAGCAAAATTTGACTATCACGGTGCTTACATTGAGAACGTGACATTACCTGGATTGGCATATGGTGAATTTTATAAATGGTTTCGGTCAACTTCTTTTTTCCAATGATTATGATTTTTGTACTTACTTGGAATTTTAAAGAAACAAACAGAGATTCTATCCGTTTTGACGGATATTTTGAACTGAAATAATTTTAGTTTGGGTTGTAGTAGGAGAAGTAACATGTCATGTAATTTACATGTATAAGTTTGTTCTGGTTATTTATTTTTCCATAGTACGGCACTTTCTGGTTGTATTCTTAGCATCAGTCAACTGAATCAACTGATACATAAAAACACTACTTCAAAGTTCTACTGTCGCAACATGTTGCAGATGAGTTGAAGTTATGTGACTGTTCAGAATAAAAATATGTTCAATGGACAAACAACTTATTTCGTATGATGTACGTTGATAAATGCTGTCAGCATATTTTGTGTTCGTAGATAATATTCTTGTTCTCTGTTCATTCTGGAGAGCGACCTATAAAAACGCGCATTAGTGTGCCTTGCAGTGTTGTAAATATGATAGTAATTACTCAGCTGTGATCATTATAAGTATCCGTGCACACATTCGTGTTAACGGGCGTCACATCGCTTCTTTGGCAAAAATCGAATAAAACTTTCCTAAAAACAATATCATAGGGATTTTACTTGGCAGCAGTAGTCGTTATTTAGGTATCTACTGAACCATGGGAGTCTGCTGACGGTACTGGTGACATAGATTGTGTCATTAGATGTCAGAATACGGATAAGTTAATGGAGGCAATGTACTAACCGAGCTCGTGCGGTGACCGCGCGCCCTAAGTGAGGCTATTAAGATCACGTGATGGACATTTTTGTTGAAACCGTGTCATGTTAAAATATAACATCCGGCAATTCTTATTACGTTTTAATGATTCAAGGATTTCGCCATTTTGATTGTCAAATCTCATGGTGATTGATTTAAGATACCATAGCCATGGAAAAATAATTTTCTAATAACGTTGAAGTAGAATAAAAGATGGTTTCGATTATTAATTCCCATCGCTTGACAGCCCGTCATTCCCTTAATGTAAGAGGATGCGTGTCATATCAGATTAAACTGATGTTCCGTATTAGTTGTCATGGAGATGTACAAGTGTCCACTAGAGTGTGAAAAATGAGACCATTGTTTTTTTGTCGAATTAATTTTCTATAGCTATTTGACAGACCAACAGTCGGCCAGCAATGATGTATAGACTTGTTCTGACCTGTACCAACACCAGTATATATTTCCAGCCGACATTAGTATTGAATCGCACCATCTCCTTCTGGCCCTTTGGGAGGATTTGTCAGTCTCACTCGCGCGTAATAGTGACACCTTAAAACATATTTGGCGGGTTATCTTCTCCTATGCAAGCAAACTATGTAGACATAGTTAGATAGAATTTTATCTGGTCACATTCTTGCTTGACATATTTTCAGGAACAGTGAATACTGCAGTCCTAGAAAAATATGTCAAGCGATAGATGTCAACAGAAATTAACTGATGTACAACAAAAGAAGAGCATTGTTAGAAATGGTGATATACAGTATACGTACATCTTCGACATGCGGCTCCTGACTGCGTCCCGACGATTCTAGGTATACCTGAAATTAAAGGGCCAAGTTTATTTCTATCTGTCATTGAACACAAGAATGCTATCATTCAAACGATAAAACCTTTAACCTGATATATGATATAAATACGAATAACCCTTAGTGTAGCTTTAAAACGTTCGTTAATGATGGTTTTACTCCTGATTGGTTTACAAACTAGATATATCCATATTTATTGATGATGTGAGATAGAAGGCATAATGATCCAGACTTTTCTAGATTTTTGTATATCCATGATTTTATTTTGTCCACATTATGAAGGGTAGCACTGACATTTTTCCTGGACATTTGAATAAGATAAGTAATATATATAGCTAGGTTATGTCTGTTTAAGATATACCTAAAAAACAGATTGCCCCTGTCAGTAGGTACCGGATAATGGGAACTCTCACTGTTTTAGTACTTACCAGCTCCATTTTAGGAGATCCACTTCCTGTCTGCATGTACCGGATAAACGGAATTCTGCTCTGTGTTAGTACTTACTTGTTCAATCAGGGTAACCCCCTCTTGTCTGTAGATATAGGAATAATATGTTTTAGTACTAACTCGCTCCATTATGGGTAATCCACTTCCTGTCTGTAGATATCGGATGAACGGAATGATCTGTTTTTAGTACTTACCCGCTCCATTATAGGTGATCCACTTCCTGTCTGTAGATATCGGATGAACGGAATGATCTGTTTTTAGTACTTACCTGCTCCATTATAAGTGATCCACTTCCTGTCTGTTGATACCTGATAAATGGAATTCTCTGTTTTTAGTATTTATCCGCTCTATCATATGTGAACCACTTTCTGTCTGTAGATATCAGATGAACGGAATTCTCCGTGTTTTAGTACTTACCCGCTCCATTATAGGATACCCCCCTCCTGTCCGTAGATACCGGATAAATGGAATTCTGTGACTGTGTGTGAGTGATATGTATAGGGAACAGCTGATCAGACAAAAGAGAACATTTGCTGTGAAACCCATCGTCCTTGTTGCCTGAAACACGAAAAGCACACACTAACCACGACATAAACAAGGTTCATTTATATAGTAATCCCCTCAATCTTAACTCACGAGAATGGAGCTTTTGATAATCTTAACTCTGAAGGATATTTGTGATCATTGTCACATCTGTTGGCCGATTTCTGTTGTCGTTTTTCTCTTTTATCTCTCCCGCTAATTTTCTTTCAATGCGACATAATAAAATGACATTTGGTAGCAGTACACAGTTTCATGGTGTCGCAATGGGTGATATTTTTGTTAATTAGATTACCCCATTATAAGTATTTTAATTAAAACAAAAAAATAAAACCTTGCTAAAATTGGTCTTATCATGTTTAAGTGGACAATGTGGGGTTTCATTTTTTTCAGAATAATATTTTAGCTTTGTGTTGGAGATTACCGTTTAGGTAGTCTCGAAGCTGTGTCTACGCACCAAAACCTAGCTTTACAAGAAGTGAAATTTTCATAGTGTTTACACGTGGCCATGTTGTGAAGAATTTCCGAGTTGGAATTTGCTGAAATGTAAGTAGTTTGTAACCATGACAGTGTTGTTGATTTTAAGACAGGTGTTCAGAAATAAATTTCTTCTGTAAAGTTGTAGTGTTAGGTGGGAATTAACAGTATTTCAGCATTTTTAACATTTCTTCAAAGGTAATCATGGCCATCACCTGTCAGAAATCAGAGGATTTTTTTTTATTTCCACAAATTTTATATTTCTATTATTAATATAATTGTTTTTTAGTTTAAAGATATAAATTTATATGTAGTGATGTATTTTTCATAACCAAACTGCTATACTTTTATATCTCAAACATGACCAATAATTTCAGGAAAAATGCTAATTAACTGTTTCCTGCTGCCTTTTACGCGAAGTAACGAAAACATTAAGTCACTAACTTGTTAATCACATGTCTATTGTCGTCACTGTCATATACATCTCTATGTATAGCTATGAATGACAAAATAATTACTGTAACTGTTCCAATATACTTAAAGAGACATCACAGAAATGCATTCCTTTTGTTATAGACTGTACGTGTTTAATATATTTCTTCTTAGTTTCTTAAATTGTCCGATATTTACTGTAGATTTCCAGTGTCCAGCTTGACCACCTCTCTGATTCGGGAAATTTTTCTGAAATTTAGCACCCGTAAGAGGTATACGTGATAGTTTTGAAAACGAGACAGTTCTATTTTGTAAGATGATCACATGATCACATGAAAACGGGTGGAAATGACAGCAACAGAAGTGACAGAGTTAATAAAATTCCGTTTTTCAGCACCGAATTTTGTTAAAGGTGTGGCAAATGTTTGATAACTCAGAATCAATTAAGAATTACGAAATAAGTGACATTAATCACCAACAACGTCTCGATCAAGGTGGAAGTGTTTTTTGTTTACTGACGGCGGTGTTTTAATGACCAACAGGTAATAGTTTCCTTTTTTAGAATCATTAATTAAGCTCTATATGTGCATATTTCTGCGAAAACCAACTGTCCTTGTTTATAAGGTGACACACTTGACATGTAATTGTTACCGTGATGTCACTATAAGAATAAAGGTTGTAAAACTGCTGTTATCATTTTTCATCACGTGATACATAATAAAATTTTTGTTTTCACTGGTCATCATCACAGGATAAGCATCGAATTCTTGGATGACTTCGAGAAAACGGAGAAACGAGAACAAATTTAACAGGATATCTTTGCTAAGGTTTGTCAAGTCAAATAAGTTGATAGTTTAGAAAGAATGGCAGATCTAAAGTGAAAACCTAGACAAGAAACCCTCACTACATTCTGTAAGGTGCCTATCGAAGTGTACTTTTATGTCGACAGACAAGGCAGACGATAGAATGACACTCGACTTACAAAAATAAATTACATTATATCTAGCTCGAAATTCAAGAAACTTTTACAAATATCTAAAAATCGAAATACTACACTTTGAATGGCATCTTTCCGATACTGGTTCATAAGGACAGAAATCTTATATTCAGTTCAATAGTCGTAATACAAGTATACAATTCCTACAGCAACACAGTATGTATACTGTAGAAGGAAAAATATCGAAATCCAATATCGAAAAAATACTTTAAGGAAGCATCTAGTTGCGTGATAAATTTTTTTCTGTCAAACCATCATACTTGGTGGGAAAAACTAGCATTAAATATACAGATGAAAGAACCGCGAGTCGTGTATAGTGTTACTCTTTTGAAAATGAAATGTAACTTCCTACTCGGCTTTCTGATGCGGTACTTATGATTTCACGCACTCGAAGTTAACATGTTTCTGGGTAACTACTTCATATCTATGTGTTTGGTGAAATATTTCTCATCGTTAAGACGCCTGGACAAGATCAGAACAATGGCGGGGACAAGGTTATTACAGCCTGACCACCTAAGCAGTTTGGTTACAAAAGCTTTATCATAAAATACACAGGCGGGGATATGTCTGTTCGTGTTAACCTCGGAATATCTCACAAAACACGAAATGAAAGTCTACCGAAGCGGTAATATGGAAATATCGAAGGAAATTAAGGATTCTGACCTTAACACCAGACAGCGGAAATGAACGATTACAAACCTCGGAAAGTTTCTCCAATATGTATGTTGGAGACAAATTACTTTTGCGGAATTCAAAAGTGTAAGTCACTTTAATTCAATATCATTTTCAATAAAATAAGATTAAACAAAATGTTAAACTATAACAAAAGATAAATTCTCTTAACAATAAAATAATAAAAAAAATCACAATATCGAGATTACTTGTATTTATCCTGCCGCATATATTTTGCTGTAATCGGTACTGACAGAAAAACAGCTGTATTTTCAGCACGTGCGAATTAATTTCTGAATTTCTTCAATATTACGTTTAACAATCAAAATAACTGTTGAAATGAGTGATTTTTTTTTATGTTGTAATTAACAAGTTTATTTTTGAAAATTCATAAAATCGCTGTCATATCCATTGCAGTTTGGGACTACATTTCTGTGCCAGGCAATTATTTTGGCATACGTCATTAGGCAAAATTCAGCTTAAACAAAAATTGAACAACAGAACTTTGGAAGTTTTGATGGTCTGATTTTCGATCAGATTTGCAGAATAAATAGAATACATGGCCAGTGTCTTAAAATATAAACATTTTGGCGGGGATGAAGAAAGACAAAAATGACAAGCTCCAGTCTTTCGTCTTTTTTTCTGTCTACATTAATAACCCGACCCATATCAATTATCCTACCTTCGCTAATTACCCAACCTACATTAATAACCCTACTTACAATGATAATCCCTCATACATTAATAACCCTAACTACAGGACCTACCTACATTATAACTATATTACTTATGTGATCTAACGACCTGTGAGTTGACGTTGTCCACCATGGCGCGTGTTCAGGGCCCGTATTAATGAAACCATTCTCATGTTCAAGCATAGATTTTGTGCTCAAGATGACTTTTTTTTATAATTCGCCTAAATCATATAAAATAATACATATATCAAATATAAAAATTGGATATAACTTTGACTTGAAGTCCTTTCAATTCTTTTTTAATCTTTGGCAAAATCAGCCTTATTTATTATTTTTTAACTTAAACAAGACAAGGCTTGAGCACAAAATTCATGCTTGAGCATGAGAACGGTTTCATGAATACGGGCCCAGATGTCAGGAGCTTATAGCAGTTCCCTACATCCAGCAGTGTGTTCATCGGTAAACAGATAATATAGTTAACTATATATCACTAATAAATGTTTAATACATCATGTTTTGCTGAGCTAGATGGAAAAGCGAATGGAAACCTTGATACCGGGAAATATTAACGACCCAGTCTTGATCCCCACACATTATGGCATACCAAACATAGGTTCAATTAATATCATAATCCTATTATCTGCTTTCGTCTCCAGTGTTTTTTCCCGTGATATCATTACTGGTGTGTTTCAGTCTATCTCTCTGCTTTCTTGTTTCTTTTCTTTTTATGTGCTTGTTTCCTGTCACATTTTTTTGCAACTGACCTTTCGATGGGATTGGAATGGTAGAGTGTGGGAATGGAATGATGGTTACTTTGGGGTTTACTGTCAATAGCAATACCTCTTTTCCTACTCTATCTGATACCAGCCATGCGTTACGACAACACACGGACACACTATTTTCTTTTCAGTTTTAATTACCATTAGAAATGTCAACAACGGAAATTTAGTTGAGGATGTTTTACAGTGTTAATTATGAATTTGTTAGATATTGTCATTTAATTACTTTAAATAGAGGTTTCATCCTTAAGCTGTATCATATATCTTACTTCAGATACACTGTCTTAATGTCATTCGCTACAATCCATAATTACACAGTCAAAAACTCGCATTACACCATCGACACATATAAAATTACTTCAATTATTTATCGCTAAAATCATATTTATGATACAATATTAAAAATGAACCACCCACAACAGGAACTTAGATTACATCCATTGGGATGACAACCAGACAGTGATATTAGTATTATCGGGGTAACAACTAGACAGTGATATTATTATCATTGGGGTTACAACCAGACAGTGATATCAGTATCATTGGGGTTACAAACAGACAGTGATATCAATATTATCGGGGTGACAACCAGAGTGATAGGAAATGAGATTTATCCCTATAACGAGAGGAAATGAGATTTTTCCCTATAATGAGAGGAAATGAGATTTGTCCCCATAACGAGAGGAAATGAGATTTGTCCCTTTAACGAGAGGAAATGAGATTTGTCCCCATAACGACAGAAACTAAGATTTGTCTCCTTAACGACAGAAAATGAGATTTGTCCCTATAACGAGAGGAAATGAGATTTGTCCCTATAACGAGAGGAAATGAGATTTGTCCCTAAACGACAGAAACTAAGATTTGTCTCCTTAACGACAGAAAATGAGATTTGTCCCTATAACGAGAGGAAATGAGATTTGTCCCTATAACGAGAGGAAATGAGATTTGTCCCTA